AGAGGCAGCGCAGGCAGGCGCGGGGTCCTGCCCAGAGCCGGCTGGGGGGCGGCCGGGGGCGGCGGCCGCCTTCTTGACCGGCGAGAATGAGGGACGCGGAGCCTCTGCTCCTTACGATGGCGAGAAGCCACCAGCGGGCTGGGAAGAAGTGCAGTAAACCCGGGCTTTTGCTCGTTTCGTCTGAAGCATGGGTCGTCCCCCTGCGGTTGGGTAGTTCTGCCTTGGCTCCTGCGGAGCAGAGCTGACTGCGGTCTGCAGCAGCAGCAGCATCGCCGGCTATCCCATCTAGATGGACCATCTTTAACGGGAGAATGGGTAGAGTAGCTCTGATGAAGGAGAATTTCCTTCGGACAGACGAGCCATCTCCTAGCATTTATACAGTCTTTTTCAAAGCAGTGAGATAAGCAGGTCAAAAAAAGAAAGAAACCAAACCATGGAGGAACAGAAGGCAGAGGAAGAGAGCACGAACTGAAGAACTAGAGATGGAGAAGTGGGATGGAGCTTGAAACTAGTCTGTCAAAAAGAGGGAAGACAGAAAAACCAAAGCGAGCAAGTCCCTTGAGAAATGTCCTAAAATACAGTGAGATGGTGGAACCTTTGTTTCATAGTTACTATAATCTTTACACTCTGCGACACAAAGTCTCACAGGACCGGGAAGTAGTGGCAACTAATTGAGTTCTCAAAATAGATGTCTGCTTCCCTACCGACACGCTTTTAATAGCATGAAAAAAGTGAAATTGTATAGACGAATAAGCTACATTAAAGAACAGTTATCTTAAGTTTAATTTTGAGATGCGTAAGTTACTGACTAACCAAGCTGTAAAAGGAAATATTAGGCAAACTTAAAATCTACCAAAAGATAGTGATTAAAATAAACTAGCATAGGCTTAGATGAAATTGCAAAATCAGGTTCTGGTCTTGTTTGTGTTGGTTTTTGTAGTCCACATTCCCTCCTTGTAGTCAGTGTTGATTACTATTTAAGAATTGAGCTCATAATACCAACCTAAAGATAACCAATGGTGTATGTAATGTGTTGGAGGTTATTCAGTAAATGCATCTTTTTGCAAAATTCAACTATTACATATTTTGGGAATTTTAGAATAAAAACTGCTAGGAAATAATGGTAAGCGATGTATACAGGTGAGTGGAAAGGTAAATTATATTTAATTGTAATTACGTGATACATATGATAGAGCTGTGAAATTAATTTAAGTGCTATTCACACTTACAAACTGTTGAAATAAAACAAGATATTTCGCCCTTCCTACAAGTTAGTGATTGAAGAGATCCATTATCTCTCATATAAAAATGTTATGTCTTATGCTCATGTCTGGGTGAGTGTTACTGTTGGACTTGAATTATTTCCTGTATATAAATAAAGTTACTTCTTAAGAAGAAAAAAATAACCTTTTAAGAACTTTTAGTCTGAAACTGGTTTGGTTTTTTTGTGAGCCTTCATTTCTTGATATAGCTGTATTTTTATTTGCATACAGTAGCACTAAGAGACATCCAATAAGCTTGATGCCTCATAAAACTGGTTCTTAGAAGTAGTAAGATACAATC